AGTACTTGTTTCTCCTTGTTTCTCTTTTGGTAAATGTCTACATTGTTTACTGTAAAATCAAAAGATTTTATAAAACTGTTTACTTTAAAAGCAGCAGATTTCAATTAATATATGCCAAGAAATAATACATATAATCCTTAAAATACATAGAAATACTAGAGCAGTCTTCATGAACTGTATATGGGAGTTGGCCCAGTGACATCCCCAGCAACTCCCCACAACAGGCAGAATTAACATGGGTGGGAGTTTCTGCTCCAACATGGACTCTCCTGGGTCCTTCATGTTCTCTTTTCTGAGACTCACAGATTTTACCACCATGCCTAGTTATCCTCTGGGTCAGTTCAAACACCCAAACAAACACTTTTTGCACTATGAAAGAATTCGGTGTTACCAACTATATTCAAGCAACCCAATTCACCAGAAGTCTCAAGTGCCAACAGCTTGGCACGCATTCCAAGAACAGAAAAATTCCTTCCAACTACTTGTATGCTTCACATCCTTGGCTAATCTGTAAATTCCCTATTCTGGATTTCAACTCTTTCTTTCTTTCTCCCCAGATTTCCATCACTAATCGGGGCATGATTCATTTATTATCTGTGCCCGGGTTAATCATCTTATTCAAATCAGGCTAAAATCACTGTCTTGACTAATGAATCACTGAACTCTGCCCACAAGAAACCTCTGATTGGCATTTGTCTTACTGACCTTTGGCCTCTTACTCATTTCTTGAGCCAAACTACAGTATTGGAATTCCTTTCTGGATGGACTCTTCAAGAGCTCACACCCCTGTCTCTTTATACTCTTAAACTTCATTTTTCTCAACTCTCCATAGAAATCAAGACTGCTAGTATTTTTCCCTAGAGATTAAAAAATACTTAAGATGACATATTTATAATTAGTAACTCCTCATTCTCCATTCACAATCTCTTCTGGAGGGGGTTGTTTTCTTTTATAACCATGCATTACTAAGTGAGTAAGTTGCGACAATTTCAGAGAGAGAGGCATCGTTTATAGAGTGTTGTCCCCACTGTTAGCACTGACAACCCCCAACCCCAAACTAGTGCTCCCCAATAATTTGTTGCAAACAATTTTTTTTCTGTTAATGATAGATGTTTAGTTCCAAAGAAACACTGCTCATTTATGTGTTCTCTCACACACTCTTGCTCTCTCTGCTTAGTTTTCTCCACTGAAGAACTTGGAATACTCTGAGTGCCCCAACTCTATAATGCACTCACTCCACCTCTACAACCCTCCCCCAAAGAAAAGACTGTCTCTTCTTAAAATTGATAAAGCAATATTCCACAGGTAAGTGGACTCCAATGCATTTACATAATGCAGGACTCATGATGGCCTTGCAAGGTAGTCTAGGACACTTCCCCCAACCTTCCCTGGCTCTCTCTCCCTCACTGGGCTCAGGCCTGTACAGTCTCACATACGTCTCCCTCCTTTCCTGTCCCTTGCCTCATCCCACCCCTTTTCACCCACAGGTATCTGTCCCAATAAAATGCTTGCATTTAATCCTGCCTTGGCATTTGCTTCTCAGAAGACCCAGCTTAACACATCAGGATTAATAGCTTATTTAAATTTATGTTTCCCTGAAATGACCAACTTTTAAATGGTGCTCAGAAAATGGGTAAACAAAAAGGGATTTGGTAAAGTAGGTCTCAGATATAGAGTTCCTCCTTCTCTATTCCATTCATCCCTATCTTGAAAAAGAGACTAACCAAAAAAACAAACAAACAAAAAAAACCAAAAACACCCAAAAAGGCTTTTCAATAGTTGTATCAAATTAATAGCTTTCCTAATATTAGGAGATTCTTCTTTATGTACAAACTCACCCAGTTGTAATAAAAAGAAAGCAAGTTAGGAACTGTTATTTAAAATTAGCTACTTAGGTGTCTGTTTCTATGATTCAACTGTAAACTCCTGGAGGGTTGGCATCCCATTTCATTCTATTTTTACTGAGTACTGGTTTTTTACTGAGTTTTTTACTGGTTTTTTACTGAGTACTAGCAGCTACTCAATAAATAATCTACTGCATGGAAGCAGGAAATGCTCAATCACAGTGAAGTATAAAGTTGGGGAGGGAACTTTTTCTTTCATATCTAGGGATATGAAGAAACATAAAATATATTTATTATCTTCATTATATAAACCATAGAAAATAACTTCAAGTTCCATTTTATAAAATATAGAAAGCAAACATCAATAAAAATCTTCTTAGCTATAGTGGGAATAAGCAGAAGATAAAATGAGAAAGAATTTATTTTAAACTATTGAGAAACTCTCTAACAGTGATACTCTATTGGTTAAAAATGGTTATCTTGCCTTTCTGAGAACTCTCCAATACAGGGCACTTGGGTGGCTCAGTTAGTTAAGCAACTGCGTTCGGCTCAGGTCATGATCCTAGAGTCCTGGGATCAAGTCCCGCAGTGGGCTCCCAGCTTCACGGAGAGGCTGCTTCTCCCTCTGACCTTCTTCCCTCTCATGGTCTCTCTCACTGTCTCTCTCTCAAATAAATAAATAAAATCTTAAAAAAAAAAAAAAGAACTAATACTTAACATCTGGATTTAAGAGAATAAGTTGCAATACTCATGTGGCTAGAGCCACAGACTATATATATGTATATATATTATGCATATGTGTACTACGTATTATACAAGATACAGATTTCCTTTTACCAATAAACTTCATACTGTAGACGAACTCAAACTTCATTATTTATACACTGCCAACAGACAGAATTGTATTTCTCCTTTATAAACAAAAAGAAAAGTCTTGTATCTTCTTACCATGTCAAGTAAAGGAGTTTCTTTAAAACAAGATATTGATCCACTTAGATGATAGTGGAAAGTTGACATTTACAAAATAATTCCATGACAGCAAATGGAAATAGAACCAAAAGGATTGAGAGTTAGATAATTAGACTCCACAATTTCTAATTCCTTCATTGTCATTAAGAAGAGCAATTTATTTCACCAACTGTTGGCATATTTATGATGATTAAATTCTTACTACAGCAATGAAAACAAGTGTATCAGTTGAGACCTCAAACAATGAAGCTTTAACTAGTATTTCCCATAATAGATGAATAGGTCTAAATTATACCCTGTCATTGGGGAATTTTTGCTGTACATTAATGGATTTAAAATCTAATTAACTCACATATACTGTTTAAGAACACTACAATAACACTGACTCAACTCATAACTTTTAGGTATACTTAGTAAACTAGAGAAAGTGGAAAAAATATTCCACATACCAGAGGCAGAAAAAGCAGAAGACATTTTTCTTTCTTTCCTTTTCATTATTCTCCCCAGAACCTGCTGCAAGTGGGGTGGAATTAGAGAAGAAAGATATATCTAAAACAATCTACGGTAATTTAAAATGATTAATTCCAGGTCTTTTAACATAAGATGCTCTAGTGGAAATTTTAGGTAGAGTAAATCCTGTTGAACTGCAATTTATCACTAAAATATCTGACATGGGGAAGTCTAATTTTTGCACCATAAGCTTTGGAAGAAAATAAAACCATAGCTCTTCAGATTTCAAATTAACATGTCACTTTTCCTATGAGTCAACCAAATAACAGATATGAATTGAAGTACCTACCAGTTTTTTAAGGGCATGATAAAAACATTTCAGGTTGAGTGTCCAGTTAAAGGAACTAATCCTAAAGAATTTAACATGTGCTTTATATGAAAAAAAAAATAGAAAAGCAAATAATTCTATGTAGTTAAACAGAAGTAGTGAATATATGAAAATTTGCAGCTGAAAGTTAAGGAAAACAAGGAGACCTACAATTTTAGAAAGTATGACAAATTTGGTAACAGAATAGAAAAATATGTAATTTTCTCAAAGAGATATTTTTGATTAAATATAGAAAGCAATGAAATTCTAATTATAAAAAGTGGATAGGTAGGGAAAAAAAAAACATTTATTCCTTTCCCAAGGATACTCTTTTCCTAGTTAGCTGTCTGAAACCGTTCAAATAAATAGAGGATATCTCAAAAAGTTGCTTATAAAATTTCATTATAAATGGCTTTGGGTAACAAAATACAGTATACATATTAAAAATAAGCAATCTTTCATGCTATAGCATTTTCTTTCTTTTCCTCATCCAACAAATATTGATGGGGCCCCTAGCACATAATTAAGCATATAATAGTGCTAAGGATACAGCACAAACAAGATGGACTAAAATCCTGGCTAACATGGAACTTACTTTCTAGGTGAAATAAATAACAAGCAAGAAAATAAGTAAAAGTCTAGTATATTCCATTTTGCTATTCCATTGTCATTCTGCCACCATACTGTCCTTTGATTTAATGCTACTGGATATAGTTTAAGTAAAATTATAATGTGATAAAAGTCTTTTGATATTTCCATAAACCCTCTTGGCCCAGCCCGGAGGTAGATCAGTCTTAAAAGAATTACCATGATATAAACCAGGGATCACCAAACTTTTTCTGTAATGAGTCACATATAAATATTTTAGGTTTTGCAGACCACCTATGATCTATGTCACATGTTCTTCATTTTTTTTTAACCCTTTAAAAATGTAAAACCATTCTTACCTCACAGGTTTTACAAAATGTGCCAGGGGCTGTATCTGGTCTGCAGCCATAGCTCTCCAACCTCTGTCCAAAATCTGAGTATCTGAGTATCTCTGCTTTAAGTGGCTACGCTCAGTACTACATTTTATGTTTTTTCTTTAACATTTATTCTTTTCCTCTTTATTATTCATTTTCCAAAATTTAATAAAACATTCTTTTCTGGAGCTACAATACTTCCAACCAGAGCAGCCTCAAAGTTCCAAAGAGCAAGGATACCTGCTCTATTTCACCCAAGCAACAGAGAAACATTCTTGGCAAAAAAAAAAAAAAAAAAAAAAAAAATTCCTAAGTCTATATGCTATAGAGAGAGATAGTGGTAGAGATTGTAGACGCTCCCCATTGACTTCCTGGCGCAGACACATAGAAAGTCTAATGTTCCCTTACCTTGCTGGAGGAACATCAATATTGGAAGAAACAACTTTTCGTTTTTGCTCAAGGAGACAGATGGAGCGAGTATTTTCTTTTTCATGGTCAAGGGCTCGGTTGGCTTTTTTGGTGTCTGCTGTTTTCACATCTTCTTCCATGGCCAAGGGAAACAAGTGTTGATGAGACATTTTTTTACTAGAGTCACGTTTTAAGTCCTCTGGTTGAAATGTGAAGGTCATTTCCCGTTTAATGCTCCCCACCTGTGAAATGAAACACAAGAATTCTTACTTGCCCAGAACATCAGCTTTGCATGACTATGTGCAGATGACCCTAGAAAAGACCACAGATCGGAGACTTCCTTGTTCATGTTGAAGATTTTATAGTTTAAATAAGAAAAATGTAACAGAGAGATAAAATAACTGACATTACGAAGTAACAGACATTTGATGCATCATCTGTCATAAAGCAAAAAAGCTCATCACAAACATAAGAGGAACTTTTCGGGCATAGAAAAACTTTGAAGACTTGAAAGCATAATGCTTCTAAAACAAATCTTAAACTTTAATACATCACTGGTTTCTCTTCTACAACTGAGAAAGTCAATTAAGTATATAAATTCTTAAATATTTCACACTAATTATATTGAATAGAAGAGTGTTATAAACATAAAATGAGTCTTATCTTTGACTATAAATACTGATCTTAACCATATTCTTTAGTTCATGAAGAACTGTTTCTTATCTTTTATCTATAGCAGCTAAGATCTTAATGAAATCTCTTATTAGTATGATGATAAAAAAAGTCATTAATTTTTCTTATCATTTTTGACTAAATGCAACATGGCTTAAGGTTTGAGGCAAATATAAAGTTAAGCCTCAGGGCCTTAACTCTTGTTATTTCAGAGTTTGTGATGACGAAAAACAGACTGAAGTCAAAGAAAGATTTTTGTAAAGGTGGTTGGTATTGTGAGTGAGGTTTGGGATGAACTTGTTAAATTCATGAGTGTACAAAGAAGAGTCAAAGGGATCACCTGGGGAGGTCAGTCAGTTAAGCATCTGCCTTTGGATCAGGTCATGATCCCAGAGTCCTGGGATGGAGCCAAGTTTCTGGCTCCCTGATCAGTAGGGATCCTGCTTCTCTCCCTCCCTCTGCCTCTGCCCCTACCATGCTCATGCTTTCTCTCCTATCTCTCTCTCTCAAATAAACAAATAAAGTCTTAAGAAAAGGAAAGTGAAAGAAAAAAAAAAAAAAAAGGAAAGAAAGAAAGAGAGAGAGTGAAAGAAAAGTGATCCACTGCTCAGTGGATTATGTTTCAAAATATGCACACCTGTCAGACATATCACAGGCCCATTCAGCAGTTCAGCCCTTTCATGGACTTAGTCTATAAAATCAAGAAATCTTCACTTACCCACTAAACAGAGGATATACTTATTTTTTCTTTTTAATTTTAGGTAGGAGGGAAAGCACAAAAAATCTGATTAAATAGATTTAGAATTACAGAAGCTAAACCCACAAACATAAGACATTTTCAGAAAAAAATGAGAATATATGTGTTCAATAATAGCAGACTGGCCATGTATGATATTAAGGACCAGAAATTTTCAGACTAAAGGGCGCATGTTAAGAGTCACAGGACCCGCTTACATATGAGGATTTCCAGAACCCAGGGATAACCTTGTGCCTTAGAACCCACTTGGCTGGAATGTATCTTTCATATGAACACAGAGCTCTAAACTGAGCTGTCTTCTCTCCTTGACCTGTACTTGTCAGGGCAAAATGATCTACTTCCCATGGGGTTCCTGTCAGATCTAAGCCCAGGAAAATGATCAGTCACTTTTGGTCTTCTCACAACTCATGGGAAAGTTACCAGTATTTCTTAAAATGAGTGGTTTAAAGAGCTCTTGTAATGGCATCAATGCACAACAGAAAAATTAAAAAAAAAAATTTCAAACTTCCAAAAATGCAATGAATGTTCAATAAAAGTATAGTTTGGAAAATTGACAAATGTAGTTACTTTATTTCAAATACCCAGCACGAGTCACTTTCTGTGTAAACTGTTCTGCCTGGAGGTAGGAGAGGGAGGTGCACCTCATTCCAAGCCTACGTTACAACTGGGATACCCTAAACACCAGGCATAGAAGATGAAAACAAAGGCCTGGTTTGGACGATCATAAATAGTTTCCCTCTAAGTGCCAAGTATTGCATTAATTAAATATTTAAGAAGTCATTAGTATTAAGTTGTAGCAATAATTGACATCTATACCTCTCTTGGGGCCAACTGTACTGATTAAGTGAATTCAATCCAAAGACAGGGTTAGTGGAGAATATTACAGGAAGCTCAGCTCTTAGTTTCAAAATTTTAGGGGAAAAAAAATCTAGCATTTTAAAGCAAATTAATACAAGGTAGAATAAATTTCCTACAGAGATTATGTTATAATTCTATGTCATGATCTTAGCCAAGACTTCATAAAAATTATAGTAATATTCAACAAGGTAAGCTATAAATCTTCCATAATACAGCCTAAACAAAAAAATTAATCTCTCAATAGTAATCAGGAAATCTTAGCAATGTAATGGATTTCAAAGGCTATTTAGCCCAAACTCCTTATATTAAAAGTGAAATTAAAAACATTAGGAAAGGACCAAAGAAGACAGAAAAATATAGCGATGAGTAAGAGATTTTAGATACTTTGACTCATGGATTTCACTGTATGTAAATCTGGTGGAAAGATTGGGTGACAGGTGTAGATCTTCATTATATTACTAAGCTTTAAGGTTTACATATAGAGATTCCATGTTCTTATTAACACTCTTTTATCTGTATCAGATATTAACATTTAAAAGATTTTTTCAAAGAAGAGTTCACAGGAAACTAGAGAGTAGGGAGAGTGCATGAAGTCAAATCTTGAGAAACTGGACTCTGAAATGGCTCAGAGAGATAGAATGGTGGCTGGAGAGGATGCCAGACAAGGGAAAACGTTCCAAGATGAAAGGTAATAGAGAATGTTTAAATGCTGAGTCAGAATGGAAAGAAAGGGATGAGTAAGGTTAGTAGTAGCAGAAAGGGATAGGACTAATAATGACTTGTTACACCTCTAGCAGATTAGCAGAACAGAGCAAAAGGAACAACATATGAACCCTAATTAAATTTGCACTCCTATTAGATTAGCAGAACAAAGCAGCTAAAAGAAGATATGGTTCCATTTATATGAGATTTCCAGAAAAAGCAAAGCTACAAAGACAGAAAACAGATCAGTGATTGTCTGGGGCTGGGGGTAGGAGAAAGAACCAACAGTAAATGCACTCCAGAGAACTTTCTATGGTGGTGGAAATGTTCTAGAACTAGACTGTTATGATATTTGTATAATGCTATAAATTTATTTAAAATAATTGAATTGTATTCTTAAAATGAGATGAGTATTATGGTATGTAGATTATACCTCACCAGTACTGTTAATTTAAAAAAAAAAAAGTAGTAACCAGTGTGGAAAGTACATTCACAAGAACCCTGAGACCAGAAATTGGGAAACTGTGCTTATAAAGCAGCTTCCATAAATTCTATTGAGTCTTTTTTTTTTTTTTTAAACACAGGTGATATGGCAAGCCAGGCTGCTGCCAGCAATTGTATGGTTACATCCTGCATACTGGTAAGATGGGGCTCAATCCAGCCCCCACTCAAGTCACGTCCCCTGGCTTCATCACCCATAGAAGAGAGACACTTTTCTAATTCTTCTACCTGGGGAGGAATTTTTGTACTTCATCTCTCCACATAAGGCACTCCTATCTACTTTTTCCCCAATTTGCACACTGCCCTGGTGACAAAAGTAAATGTCTTAGGGTGATCTACATGGCCTGGACCACGTTAGCTCCCTTCCTGGAAGCAGATATCAATCAATTATGTGATTCCTATGAGCTGGACAGTTTTGATAACAGAAATATCGAGGGTATCAGAAGAAGCACTCTATGCTATAGGTCAGAAGGAGGCAAAGGGCTCAACACGGAAGAAGGCCAGAAGACAAACACACACACAATCTAGAAGCCCCGAGTGACAAATAATGAAGAGAAACAGCAAGACCATTGACTAGTAAATTCTAGGAGAAAATATGAGGCTGAGAAAATACAAGGCTAAGATTTAGGAATGATTTTAGTCTAGATTAAGAAAAAAATAAACTGTCTCCTGCCCAGGAAAGGATTCATCTGACTATCTCATGCTGGTAAGACTGGACATTGGAAGGTAGTAGTAGTATTTGATCTCGGTTGTCACACTTAAAATGGACAATGACAAATTGGAACCAACACAACAGAACGATCAGCACGGCAAAGGATCTTATTGGGAGGAACTGGGAATATTCTGTCTAGAAAACTAAGGGTTTATGCCCCGCACAGCTGCTCATAAATGAGTGAAGAGCCCTCTTGAAGAAGAGGAATTTGAGTTCTCTCGTGTTCCTTTGGAAACAAGATCAATGGCTCATTTCTGCTTCTAGCTAACACCCTTTTGACCTTACAGTTTACTCACTCTTCCTCTTTTCTTCCTCTTACTCTTTTACCACAGTGTAAATGAAATATGGTATATCCATAAGAAAAACTACTTTCTACCTAACTGCGTTTTCATGAAGTCAAGTAGGTAGATTCTCAGAAGCTACCTTGTCTCACTTAAACATTTTAATTTTTACTGTTTCTGTGGAGTTTAATTACACTTTTCATTTTTAAAAGTATTATAAAATATGTTTGTTATTAAATTTGCAATAAAAGTGTGTATAAAATTAAATGGCAAAAGCCTTCTATTCTTCCCCATCTTTTAACTAGCCCTGCCTAGTCAGGTCCTATCTCTAGAGAGCAGCTTTTAACAATTTAATGCAACACTTTAAATCACTTAAAATACATTAAATACCCATCAATGTGTATACACTGTTTGGAGCATCCAAACATGAATGAGATTATACTACATGTATTATTCTGCAGCTTATTTTCTCACTTCACCATAAATCATGGGCAACTTTTCATGTTAGTAGTACATCTACTAATTTTTTTAAAACACTGAAAACTAACAGCTCATGAGATCAGATTTTTTAATTAATCTCATCTTGACAGACACTGAGGTTCTTTTCAATTTTTCATTATTAAAAATAATTCTACAATGAACATCCTTGCATATGTATGCATATAGCTTTATGCATTTGTGCAAACATTTTTTTGCAGGAAAAATTCCCAGAGGTTGGAATTTCTGAATCGAACAACCAAGATATTCTTCATAGGGGAA